CCCAGAACTGGACGCAGTACTCCAGCTGCAGCCTGACCAGTGCCGCATAGAGGGGGAAGATCACCTCCCTGGACCTGCTCGAGATGCATCTGTGGATGCATGACAAGGTACGGTTGGCCTTCCTGACCGCGTCCCCACACTTCCGGCCCATGTTCATCTTGGAGTCAATGATGACTCCAAGATCCTTTTCCGCCTCTGACAATTAAGAGTAATTGTCCCTAGATGCTTAAGTCCCCTAGAACAACCTGCATTGCAGCAATATCCAAAAAGGCACCTTAGGCACCTAAAATGGGTTTTGGTGGAATTTACCCACCCAATTGATTCAGAAAACTCTGCTTCCGCATTAATTAAACCTATTTGCTACCTAGATTAATTGCAGGCCACAAAATTCCACAGGTGCTAAACTCAGCCTCTATCTAGGCCCTGGGAGGCCGCCCAGTTCACCCATGCCTGTATCCGGTCCTAGTTATGATCTAGATAAAAGGCAAAGTAGCACCGAATCTCAGCCTCCAGTCTATGAGGGGGCCTGATCTAGTAGGCATGCCCAGAACACAGCTAACACACAAACAGCACAAACTGCATCAGCTAAAGTCACTTTCAATCAAAAATAGCACTGGAGGAATAGGAGGAGGTGATGGTGGTGCTTACGTTTATACAGTAGCTTCATTCTGAGGACACTGACTCAAGTGAGCCACCTCCCTTAGCCTGAGGGGATGCAAACCCATGCTTTCCATCTCCCACGAGAGTGCCCGAATCAGCATGGAATCGAGGAGCGTGTGCGAGAGCGCCTGCCACCCCTCTTGTCAAGCTGGGCCACTGTGCAACCAAAGAAGGCACAAGGCAGGGGCCAAAAGGAAAGCAAGCAAGAGGGAGGCCAACTCTGTAACCTTGCAGTTGGGGTATGTAGTAGGAGGGGAGAAACCTGGGTTTCAGTCTTTGTTCTTAGGATTACTCTATCCCTAGCATACTCCCCTTCTTCCCCCACCTCCCCTCCATTTTATTCTTTTATATTTTTTTGTATTGTTTGTGTTAAATCCAACGGTTATCTAATGGAAAATACATGAGCAGTCCAGGGAGCTTCCTATGGCCTGGGACTGCGTTTATCTTTTTCACCGTCACATCACAATGGTGGATTTCAGCCAGCATATGACCAACTAGTAAACAAAATCGCTCTCCTCTGCCTGCTGTTCCAAATGATAAATCCTAGTGTGTACAAAAAATATCCTAGCTTTTAGTTTATTTGCATAAAGACAATTTTGTCACTTTTTACTATTAAACTTCATTCCATTTCTATTACTACAGTCTTAAACATTGGCCAATTGTATTTGTGTGTCCCCTTGCATTTAAAACTGCATCAATTCAAAGTCAATGCAATATTATTTGCTGTGATCAGCTCTTCTACAATGCCCTTGTTACTTGGCAAAACCAAGCCTCAAATAGCATCACTTCTTGATTCAGTAAGTATTTAGTAAAGAAAGTTGTCAGCTGTCACATCTAGGAAGATCTGGGCCCTACTACAATTAGAATAATTTGTTCTCCAGTCTATATATTGAAAGTAAAGGTCTCTCATAACAAGACAATTTCCAGTAGCATTTATTTTTCTAAGCATGTACAGAGGTCTTCATGTCCAGATCTGACCCTGTTAGTCCCAAAAGAACCTCTTTTTACCATCCTCGCCAAAGACATTGATCCAACTGGATCCTGGATTTTCCATGCTATTCCTTCTTTTTTATTTATAGGTTATAATATCATCACATATAACATACACTTTCCCACATTTTCCTTTATTCCTGTCTTTCCTGAAGAATGCATACTTTCAATAACTCAGGTGTAGGCACAATTCCTGTTCCCTCATGTTTCTCTTTGCTTTGTAATACCTGTTAGATTGCTGATGACTTGTATAGTCTGCATCAGTCATTCTAGTTTCACTATTTAGCTTCCCCTGCTCTTTCCATGAATATACAAACAATTAAGTTGTTTTTTCACTGACCAAATTTCATTTCCTGCCTAAAATGAGTCCTTTCACTCTTTCATTCACTGGACTACTGCTCTCCTTAGTATTAGCTCTTTATTTTTTCTCCTTCAATCTTCCTACTTTCAGATATTCCTCATATCCTCTGCTGTATCCTTGTTTCCCTTTCTTCTTCCTGATATTTAAAACCTGGTATTTAAAACCAGAAGGCTAGACAAGTCTCTTTCAATCTTCTCTCTGTTTCCCAGTTTAAAGGTCTTTTATCAGTCACACAAGATCCCAGATAGCCAATACTCCAGTGAAAATAACTCATTGAGAAGAATCTCATTTCTGGGATCAAATGTTCTAAAGCACAAATCCTTGAGCCAACTGTTGATCACCTTTATCTTGTCCCATCTAAAGCCTCCTTCTCTAGGGGAGAGAATTCCATCAAAAATCACCTAAGCTTCCATTTCTTTCAGCATCTTCCCTAGCACAGCAGTCATCCTCTATCCATTCCAATGGGAATTCA